TGAGGGAAGGAGCAGGAAGTAAGCCATGGGATCAGGTAGCAGATCAGAGAGCAGATAAGGTAGGTGACCACTGTGTTTCAGAAATGCCAGACAGGACATCTTACTGTGAAGCAAAAAAGCTATTTGGTGAAAGAAAAGTTTCAGTTCTGTAATTCCTGGGTGGTTACAGCTTATGTTTTACATAATTTAGCCTTTCCTTCAAAATAATTAGTTTTTGGAAGGAAAAAGAATTAAGGCACATTATATTAGATACAAATCTATTTTAATCCTTTTTCTTATTTTCTATCCTCTTTGTCTTCTTTTTCTTCCTTCTTTTCTATTCTTCTCTTCTTTCCCTCTAGAAGCCTTTCTTCTTTTTAAAAATCTTAAATTTTTTCAAATGTTAACTATTATATATAAAAATAGATTAAAAACAAATTTCTTCTGTATAGCACAGGGAACTATATTCAATATCTTGTAGTAACCTCTAATGAAAAAGAATATATGTATGTAAATGTATGACTGAAACATTATGCTGTCCACCAGAAACTGACACAACATTGTAACTGACTATACTTCAATAAAAAAAAATTCTTAAAAGTTCTCTCAATTTTTCTAGTTTTCCATTTACCTCTTCCTACTGACCCATTTCTACTTTTTTCTTCTAGTTGATCTGTCCCTCTTGCCCGTCTACATAAAAAGAGGACTTCAGAAATTATAAGGCAATTTGAAATTGTAGTATATGATGTTCACCTTTTCATATAATAAAACACCTGATTTTAGAAGATTTAAAAAGATACTACAATGTCTTCTCAAACAACCCTTGATGGACTTAGTGGTCTCAATAGTACTCCTGTTATTTTAAAATACATTATTTTGTTAACCACATCCCTTCTCCTTCTATAAAGCTGAAAAATAAGCTTTTTTTTCTTGGTAGTTTCTAACCACATGTTTACTGTGGTTTCACGTAAGCAGTTGTTGATAATCAACTGATAAGTGCTGTTATGTACAGAAGTCATAGTTATGAAGTGGAAAATGAGTGAAAGAACATCTGAAAAAAATGTATATTTAACTCTCAGAAAATTAAGTTAATATGGCAAGAAAGACAAATTAATTTTCTCTAACGTGCTCACCTGTTCCACAAACAGCCCTTTGGTTGTTCAAAGATTATGTCGTGACCCACTTTGTAATTTAAAATAAAGATTTAAAAAATTATCTTTGCCTCAATGTACTTTGATTATTTATTTAAAAAATTCCACAGTCTCTAGCAATTCTCTCCTGACTAACGTACAACTTCAATAACAATAAGAACACTATAGCATACAGCAGAGTTTTAAGTTGACAAACAAACGTAATTTGTTGATAGATAAGATTTTAGATTTGGTCCACTGAACTGAAGTTCGGGATGGAGCTCATGCGTGTGGACTGGAGGAGAAGGCTTTCTGTGTTGGCAGCACACCAACCTGCCTGTCAATCTCTCTCAGTAGTTTGGAAACAAGGAGCTGGAGGAGACTTCTGTTCTGCCCCCAGGACATCCTTGGCCCTACCCCTGCCAGACAAAGAATGCTATTTTCTTCCAAATGTTAACCCAAACCTTACAAAAACTTCTGAGGCTTGACATTTGGGCAAATAGAGTAAATTAT